TTTCAGTAATATGTTAACTTAATGTTTCATTCACAAATATTTACTGATGTGTTACCATGTATCAGACAATGTATTAATTATGAAGTAACATTTATAATAAAACCAAATTATTTCCATTTTAAGAAAATATTGAAATACATATACCTATATATGTATATGTGTATGTGTATATACATATATATGCATAAAAAACTTATGTCCAGAAGAAAACCTATAAACTTGAATATTAGAAGAATATTTAAAATGCCATAATGGTCAGATTATTAACTCTCAGTCTAATATTCTGTTTCTGAAGGCGATCCCAAATAAAATTTCAAAGGATAGCATACTTATGCTTCAACTGAGATGCTGGAGTCACTTAATATCATATTATGATTTCAGCATTTTTGAATTTATCATCTAAACTCATATAGTCTATTTTTAGGCTATACCACTTATAAGGGTAATTAAGATCCATAAACTTATAGAAGAGCATATTAATTTTTTTCTAAAATCCTCTCTTTTAGTCTTTATAAAGTATCTCCTAATCCTTTCCTTCTCTCTGCATAGATATATCTACTAGTCCTCCCATAAAATGAAATAAACTCTGATTTAAAAGGAAAACATTTCAGACTAGATTTGTAGTCATATGTGGTTTGCAAGAGGCACACACAGAAAACTGAAAGACAAAGCATGGAAAAAGATATACTATCCACATCAAACTAAAAGAAAGCAGGTTATATGTTAGAGTCTGTAAACAAGTCAGGATGGCGCCTGGCATTTTGCCAGGGGAATATTAGAGTCTGTAAACAAGTCTGGATGGCGCCTGGCAAAATGCCAGAGGGAGTGGTTTGTGAAGTAACGCCAGCCAGCCATTAAGTGTCGAGATTCCTTATTGGTTGACTGCTGTTATCGAGTTTATGTTAATTAGATAAGCTGTGTGGAATGTATAAATACCGCTCCTGTCCTACAATAAACAGCTCCTACTCCTGCTGTATCAATCTACACAAATTGTTCGTTCCCCCACCCCACCCCCACCCCCGCTATTTTGCTGCAGCCGGACTGTGGCAGTTATACAATATCAAATAATACAACATAAGCTAAAAAGTGTGATTTACTAAGTATCTAAAATATTTTTTTATGAATATAACAAAGCTTATAAATCTAAGGAGAAACAAATAAATACACCATCATAATACCGGTCTTTAATAACTGATCAATTAAGGAGATAAGTACTTGTAGAAATAGATAAAGCAATCATGAAATTCATATGGAAAAACAAAAGACCCAGAATAGCAAAAGCAATTCTAAGCAGGAACTGTGAATCTGGAGGTATAGCGATACCAGAGTTCAAACTGTACTACAAAGCAATAGTAACAAAAACAGCATGGTACTGGTACCAAAACAGGC